ACCAGACTGAAAACCTGAAGACCTATTCCCTCCACTCCCACCTTTTCAACTCTTGGCAAACACTTTGCTGCCCAGGGACCTGGTTCAGAAGTCATCACTTTGGTTTCGTATTAACCAATACTTCATCTGGCTGCTCACAGAGGAGAAGAATTTTAAGTAATTAATTTTCCTCAGAGCCATTTTGTCTTCAGTTTCCTTTCTTGATATCCAAAGGCAGCAGCCCCAGAATAGACCCAGTGCAGGACCTGGCCATGTAGGTTACTGGAGATGAAAGCTGTGAAGATGACAGGTGCGTGAAAGGACAGCTTTGTCACTATTAGCCTGCCTACCACGTTCAGATTTGGCAGCAGTTCAAATAAAACTGTTGATTCAGGAGTGTGGGTCTGCTGAAGGAAATGCAGGCCTGAGAGTCAGACTGCCTGCCTGCTGCTGGCTCATTGGGCTGGAAACATCAACCTGAGAAAAAGTTTACCACTTCAAAGGGCATCCCTGAAGTTTCTAAACTTTTTTTGGGCATTTAAACCTTTAGATGAATATTGTTATTCAGCATTAACAATGTTACCTTGACCATCAGAGGACAACACAATGAAAGAGAGCAGCAGGTCAGTCAACAGTTCTTTGCCAGCTCATTTTTCTTCATTTCTGGGTGTGATTCTGACTGACAAAGATGATCTCCATAAATTACACCAAATTAGCACTTGTTTAAAGGACCAGCCCAGTCAGATCATCCTATTTACTCCCTGGAGTCTGTAGCCACCCCTTCCCCAGGTGCTATTTGTATTACGATACACATTTCATTCAAGTTCCAGACCAAAACCTCTACTGAATGCATCTCATTTGACTGAGTCTTCACAACACAGGCTTTTATGCAAAATACGGCTATGCAACCTTTATCGTAAAATAGTGCCAAACAGCAGAACACAAGTAGTTTTGCTGGGTTTCTTTTAAGTTCCTTTGTCATACCTGATTGCTCATAATTGAAAATGTAGTCGTATCTGCATTCCTGGCTCCATCAGTAAGCCACTCTATTTTCTTACCATTCTGAAGCACTCCCCAAGCTTCTGCTCATAATTTTGCTTGACCTTTATTAAAGACCAAGCATTAGATGGCAATTAGATTTGGTGATCCCTTTGGTGATTGAGGCTCAGTGATTTACTGTGAATTATAAATAGTTCAAATGTTTCATTATGTTTATTCTTTATACAAGCTTTGTGGCCAGGTAAGCACTGACATGACATTCACTGTTAAATGATCTCATTAAACTTCTTAATTTAAGTGGTGCAACACTTCACCTGCCACATTATCCAAGGACTCCTGCAATGCACATTAAACATTCAGCATCAATAGATGCTCTACCGTAGTTCACCTTGTTGGGAGTGAAATTTCAGTCCCTGAACATAAGGTTCACTACCTGATGCTGTTTGTCAGAGACAATAAATAATGCAAATAGATACCCACGTAAAGCAAGAGGTTAAAGACATCAATAGCTTTCCCACAGAGTTTTGAAAGTCTCTCAAAATAAAAGACTTTAAATCATGAAAAAATGCCACTAAAATTAAAAAAAAAAATAAGGAAAAGGAAGGAAGGTGCTGGTTTCTTTCACTATGAATGCAATAAATTAGAGATGATTTCTTGAGAACCCTGAAAGCATGTGCCCTTTTTTTATTCACAACCCCAGAGCAAGAGGAGGGGCAGTCACACAACCACACAACCTCCCACCTCAGAGTTGCTTGCAGAGGTTTGTTTTCAGCTA